GGCAAGAATAGTCATATCAAAAACCCCAAAAACGGAGCGGACATATAAGCTTACGAAAAGGAAGGCGAGTTCCCGTGTATTCAGGCGCCCCAATCGACTTGCTTGCCGTCTCATCCCAATGCCCCCTCGATCAAAGCACGCTTCCGATCCTGCAGCTCAAGAATACGGTCTTCAACTGTTTTGTGCACGAGTATGCGATGCACCATTACCGGTCGCATTTGACCAATGCGATGTGCACGATCGATGGCCTGCTCCTCAAGATATGGATTCCAGAACGGATCGAGAATGATGACCTGCGAAGCCGCGACGAGGTTCAGTCCTGAGTTCCCAGCTTTCAGTGAAATAAGCATGATTGTATGGTTTTGACTGTCGGAGAACCGAAGAACGGCTTCGTTACGGTGGCTGGGTTGCATACTGCCGTCGTATCTGCAGTAGCCCCACCCTTCCCTTTCGATGGGAACTTGAAGAAGGTCGAGTAGGGATGTGAACTGGCTGAATACGATGGTTTTCTCTGGTTTATCATCACCTTCGGGGATGCGGGATTGAATATCTCGGAGAATCTCCATTGTTTTCTCGATTTTAGCACTGGTCACCCAGTTATCGGTGAGATAGCGCATATATTCTCTTTTTGCCTCGGCGCTTCTCGACGCGTTTTTCTTTAGCTGTGGAAGAGACTTCCTTTCGACTGCTTTGCCCTTGCCCTTTCCGATATCATCGCTGTCTTCATTACCAGTGAGCACCGGTCCAGGAGTCTCCTCCCCATCTGCATCAGTAGAGTCGAGACAGAATACTTTTGTGAAGGAAACATGATCAGTTATCTTCTTGGGATCGATCAATGTGCGACATTGGGGACACTTGATGCAAACATATCCATCATTGCCTTGCATCAGTCCTCGAGCAGGGTCTGATATTATCGCAAAACACTCAGCGCAAGTGCTGTGGCCGCATGGGAAGAAAATGACCGCATTTTCCGCCACATCAATACAAACTGGGCATTCCAAATCCGCACTGTCCCTGAGACGAGCGACTACATTCGGCTGGAACCGTTTAGCGTTCTCAATCAGATCAATTTTAGCTGTTGCAGCATTTGTCTCCACTCCCAAATCGTCGATCAAATGAGGATGACAGCATGCCTGTCGTAGTCGGAGAAGCAACACAAGAATATTGGAGTAATTGCGTCCGATAGTGCCTTCATCAAGATACCTATTAAACCTAATCTGCGTTTTGGACTCCAGTCCTTCGTAAAGTGACTTTTCATCTTCGCTGAACACCGCATATGTCTTCTCAGTGGTCCTAGGGGGTAAATGTAAAATCATTTTCCCATCAATTTTCGAAGATTTTGTCCGGCGTAAAAGTATCGCTTTCAACAGAGCCTGAAATTGTTGCATGGGAGGATAATTGGGGGGTATATCATTGCGTTGCAATTGGTTAGTAAAAGTCTGCATGTAATTGTTAGCGCTCTAGGAATTGTAGGGAAACAGTCAAATAGCCAGCGTCATGTCACCCACAGAATTAAATTTTTCTAAGACATTGTACGGCCCGATTCTCAAGAACTTAATCAGGGAGTAAAGCTCCGACACATTATTCATCATTGGAGTGCCAGTCATGCACCACCGATAGGTTGATTTCAGACGATAACACGCCTGAGCTGCTCTGGTGGCTTTATTTCGGATGCATTGTGCCTCATCAACAATTACCCGGTACCACACACTGCGCTCCCCGAGAAGCGGCAATGAAAACATATCCGCTGAGTCATAATATGGATGGGCAAGTTGGTTCTCAGTCAACATTTCCCTTGAGAACTCCAGTCTTTTAAGCTCCGAAGACAAGGTGCCGTAGGTGGTAAGAACAACATCGTACTTTTTCAAATTGCAATACTTTGCACCTCGCTCGTTATGTAGGATGAAGACTCTCAGTTGATGGTTTGGCTTTAGCATTCGTTCAATTTCCCGCTTCCATTGTTGGATCAGCGCAACAGGTGCTACTATGAGGGTCGTTTTTTGCTCTGGGTCCTTCGAGGGTCGGGAAACTATGAGGGCCAAAGCTTGTATGGTCTTTCCCAGGCCCATGTCATCTGCCAAAATCCCGCCTCGGTTGGAGCATTCTTCCATAGATTTCATCCAAGCCAATCCAAGTTTTTGGTGTTCCATCAAGTTGAACCGTAGCGCTTCCGGCGTGCCTTCGCGCTTACAGTCAAGATCCTGGTCAGGCCGAATATTTTCCAAGAGCTTCTTCAGTTCCTCCGTCGTTGTTTTGGGTGTTATCTGTTCGTAGATCGTTGACTTGAAGTTACTGCAAGCAAAACAGGGTTAGAAATCACAATTTTTAGTCTATCTCAATGATGTTATGCGCGTCATGCAAATCTATGCGCCTACCTCGAATTCATGCCGTATGTTTCTAATTCTGATGAAGCCTTGGATATTAAATCAACAACTCCGTCAAGGTAACCGTTTGAATATCCATTAGGGATTGGGTTACGGAGATCATTTTCGAAAGGAGAAGATTGGTAACCAAGCGTGCCAATTGGACTATATGTGGCACCTAGTTGAGCCCTGAGAATATTTGGGTTTTCGGAAGCCGTGGAATTGATGGAATATGTTGGATATCCAATCCCCTGGTCTCGGGGCAAGGTGCCATTTTTATACTGAGAAAGTGTAGAGAAGCTGGAAGACGTTGCATCTATGACATCAGCCTTTGACCAATGTCCCCTCATGTCTGAAGTGTTGGAGCGTGGATTATGCCTTGATGAAGCTGAACGGCTCGAGGAGGCATAAACAGCTTTCGGATATACCTCTTCAAGTTCACTGTCACTAGTTATTTCGATGTAACTTTCGTTAAATTTAGATGAATTCCCTTCACCATGGACAGGTAATGTTGAGTGAGATTTTGCGTATAGGGGCTTCTTTGAGCGGTTCTGCATGGACGTGCTGGAGCTAGATGCATGGAACTCTTCATTCCAGTGTTGCTGCAATGACCTCGCGTATTCCTCATCCAGTCGTTCTTGCTCCTTCTTTTTTTTAAGCCAATTCTCAGCTTCACGCTGCTCACGTTCTATCTCTTCAAAATCATCAGGGAATGCAAAAAGCTCGCTTAATGGCAAGTCGCTCGGGGCAGCCGATGGGCCACCATCATCTCCTGGAAGTAGAGTAGTTTTCCGCGACTTCGGACCGGCAAACCCATGATTGGCAGATAAAGTAGCGTCAGTTGCAGTTCGGGGGCGTTTACGGTTTGACGAGAGTTGACCATTTGCATCTGGTGACGGTGCATCTCCTGCCTCATTGGTATGGGCATCCTGACGTGAGTTGGGTAAAGTAATAGGAACGTCCAAATTAGCAGAGTCTCCTAATTGAGGAGCATCATCATCATCATCGTTCGTCATTGACCTCGCGGCCAATTCTAACAGATCCTGATCCTGATCCTGGAAGCTCGTCTGCGATAAGCGATCAGAAGCAGCCGACGCCCAAGGTCCAGGGGGGCTTGGGCGTATCGGAATATCCTCGACTTCAATGAGCCTGCGTTGTATAGCAGCCAGCGCTGGCTCCGAGGATGTTATTGACCGAGGATCAGAGTCTCCCGAGTCAACTCGTTGGAGACCGAGGTCGAATATATCCTCGTCGGAGAGTGGATACTCATCCTGGATATCACCCATAGATAGCACGTTTGGACTTGTAGTATTCCTAAAGAGGAAGATATCTTCGGCCTCGATATCATCGTATATAAAGTTGAGAAAGTGGTCATCGCCTGGCTCCATGGTTCGAAAAAGTCGTTGGTGTTTCGGGACAATTTTGAAGCTCTTCGAGACGGAATTAGCGTGACACCGCTTTAAATAGCTAAGCAATGAGTAGATGAATAGATGTCAGGCTGATCGTAGTTTGCCTTCTCCAACGCTTCAGTTGGGACTGGGAGGGAGGCTGCATGCAAGGCTCAGGCGACGTGTTGAGTCGGACATCATGTGGTTCAGCGAGATACGCTCAAGAATTCGAGAAACCGGAGGAATGGCGATCTTGACCAGGCGCTTGTTCCTGGTTTGTCAAGCAATGCGAACCTTGCCGCGGCCTGAATGTGAGGGAGTGGGAGGGAGAGAAGGGCTTTGTCGCGCAAGCTGTACGGTGACTTTGGAGAGCTGAGGACGTGGGTTGGGAATCGTGAAATAAAATATTTATGAGGCAAAAAAAGAAAGAAAAAAAAAATCTAGTTGGTGCTTATAATATCCCAAGGTCCAACAAGCACGACACGGGAGGGACGGGTCTGCTTCGTGTTGTTGAAGGGCGCAATTCCCCATGGATGTGCTCCTGGTGGATTCTTTTACTTTCTTATTATTTATCCTTCATCTTCAGCCTCACGCATTGAATCAGTGTTTTCATCATCTACTGCCTGGACTCCGTAGCGCGCACAATGGATACCAATAAATACCCGATTTCCCGGGACCGGCAATTCTTAGGCGAAGACGCTCTCTACCTCGAGCCTACCGCATCGCCAGGCAAAGACGAAGCTGTCGAAGATGGTCTTCGGGACTGACTGGGCTTCTCCTCTTCGATTCAGGGCCCTCAACTGTAGCTTGTTGGCTGCGTGTGGAAGTCCGTGATTGTTTGCTTCTTCCGCCGTCTGGATCCATGGATGATAACTACCCAGCAACTATGTGTGGTTGCATTGAAGTTTCGGCTTCTTACAGCACATGAATGTGAGATGTCTACAGGTTGGTATCCATGGATTCATAAACATAAATATTTCTGCTCGGGCCAACAGGAGGAGTGTCGTAGCCCAAGTAAGGGCCTGTTCGGTGTGGCGGTGTGTACTCATTCTTTTTGTACGGATCTCCACTTTTTTTAAAAAGTACAGCTCAATATGACGACTGTTTGGTGGACAGAGCAGCTGTATTAATATTACAGCTTCTTTTTATAAAGTACAGATGAAAAAGACCAGATGTTCGTGGATTGAGCAGCTGTACTTACATGTTTCATCAAGATCATATGAATAAGCAGTATGTGACAGTGCAGAATAGCGTAGAATAACATTTATAGTGAAGATAGTTAATTAATATTGATTAGAAAAAAGCTTGCAAAAACACATTCTTTTTGAATGAAGTTCAGAATCATTTAAAAAAAATGTGTTTCTGTAAACTTTTTTCTCCATCATATGTTTCTGTAAACTTTTTTCTCCATCATATAGAAGATTGATCAGTGAAGATCAGTATGAAAAATAATTAATAACAAAATGATGAGATGAATAAACAGATTCTATAAACTGCAATTCAAAAATATATCAATTTTCATCAACAATTGTTTATCAAAATAGTCATGAATCTGATGATAAAAATCTTTTTAATGTCACAGAAAAGAGTATTATATAAAAAATCTTTCATCAATGTTTTATATGCTGCTCAGCTGCTGAATTCAAATACTCACTTTAATTATATTAAAAATATCACACATTTTTATTGAGAAACATTGATATAATTCATTATTCTTTTCAAAAAGCATACAATTATATCTGAATTCAGTGTTATAAATGTGATGAAGATAAAAGAGAAAGCAATGATATTTCTTTATATTATTACACAAGAATCTTCAAATCAAAATGTTATAAAAAGATTTGAATATTTATTTATTTAATACAGTTTTAAAATAAGAATTAACTTTTCATATAATCATTATATAATTTTTATTGTTTTGAAAATACTCATTCATTTTATACAAAATATTTTATGAGATGTTGAAAACATTCCGTATACTTTATAATCAATTTATACAATTGTCAAAATCTTTTATGAAATATAATGAAGACTTGCTCAATGACAATTTTAAACAATGATTATTTTTTAGAAATTGTATTAAAGTTTTAGATGATATTCATTTTTCAATATTTATTTCTTTTAATCAGCAATTTAATTGATGAAATTGAAAAGAATGTATTTCACAGAATGTTCTGACAATGTGTGATTTTGAGATGAATTTTATATATATATATATTTTGAAATGAAAGATTCTGCTCATGATACACATGTTTTTAATCTGATTTAAAAGTATGATAACTTTTCAATGAAGGAACTATGCTATTTTCTTGCAGATATTGATTATTTTAAAAAAATCTTTATAATATTAATTTTTTATTTTGATATGTGATATCATTTCAAAAAGTTTGAAAAAGCAGGTAAATGATCTGCCAATAAGAAGGAATTATTCAATCTTTAGTATATCAGTTTGCAAAATGTAACTGAATGAGTTTTTGAAATATTCAAACAACAATTTCAAATATACAATTGAAAAAGAAATGAATTTTTCATTACTATTTAAATCAATCTTTGTTTTTATATTGACAGCATTTCATAATTTTATAAATAAATATGAAGATCTAGATGATATTAATTTAAAAGATTTGAATGATGAAATGAAATCAAAACAGTTAAATATAATGAATGAAAGAGAGAATGATGATGAGATGATTAAAAAAAGAGATCAGATTGCAGAGAAAATGTGAAAGTTCTATAAAAGATACATTAAATATATGAAAGATTAATCAGCAAATCACATACAATTGATGTGTGAATCAAGATTGCTTGCATGTATTTTAATAAAAATAGTTGAATTCTAAACATAATTCCATTTTCAAAAATATGAAATGGTAATATATTAATGTATTTATTGTATATTATATCATAATGTAATTTATAAGTTAATAAAATGTTTTAAATTACTTAACCATCTCACACAAAAAGTTATGATGTTTTAAAACAACTGTTTGTAAATATAATTCATTATTATTTGTAATATTGAGTGAAATTCAGTGATGTTCTTGATTATTTTAAAAATAAAATATAAAGAATGATTTAAAAACGTTATTATTATTATTATTTTTATCATTATTTCTGTCATTACTTTTGTCATTATTTTTTTCATCATTTCTTTTATTAACTTCACTGTGACATTTGCAGCATTTGTTGTATTAATGATATTTCATTCAACATCCGTATAATATAATCTCATTGAACATTGATTGAGCTATATTTCAAATTTAAATACAGTTGAGCTTTTTGAATGTTGAGAAAACAGTGTGAAATTAAAGTATATTGTTGATAAAAAATCTCATCATCAATCTTTCAATTTTTTGACAGTAGATTCTGCATTTCATTTATGAATAATTTGATGACTTGTTCAGTTTCTCTTTCAATCTCAATTTGTATATTAATTTAATTGAAGCTGTTTACAGCTGCAGTCAAATTTTGAATATTTTCATCAATATTTTCTAATTTTGAACATTTTTTTATATGATTGACATTTCTGAATATTGATGAATTTTTTATAAAAAATGATGAGTTATCTTCAGTTTTTGAATTTGCTGCAGAAGATTCTCTCATTTCAGATATCATTGCATGATATTTAATTATAAATTAATCAATAACAAGTTTATCATCAAGGAATTCTCTGATAAATTCTTGAAATTCAGAGTCATATTCTCAAAAGATTTCAAAATCAAAATGTTTGAAAAAATACTCATTTATACTCTTTTTATTATTGATATAAGTTTCACATCTGTGATTATACATTCAGTCAAATATCTGATTTTTATATCTCATTTAAAATATTCAATTATATTTAATTTTTTTTTATTAAGTAACATATACATTTTTAATTATTGTCCGATCTGTTGATTGTTTGATAACTTATATGATAAGAGTTCAATTCACGAATTTGAAGTTGCTATTATCTGTATTCAATTCCTTCTTTTTCATTTTGAAGAGTTCAGTAAACAGAGTTTTTTTCATTATAAAATTTCATAATATTTTGAGTTGTTTGATTTGAGAAGCAGATGTTCACTTTTGAAAGATAATAAATATTTGATAAAATAATGTTTCAGAGCACATTTGAAAAGATGTTTGAGAGAATAATAATTGAAAATTCAATCACTGACTTGATAAGATTGAAATTGTAGAGATTTGAGTATTGTCGTTTTTCACATTCAGATATTGCATTGAGACATTATACTGTGACATTCTTGTTCACTGCTTTCATGAATTCTAGCTAATAATGAGGGTTAAAATATAGACAAATCAATCATGGATTTGAGAGAATATGATCTCAACACATCCACATTAAATGTGAAATTAAAAAGCAAGCATGGAGTGATCTCAATTATGGAATAGTGTGATGGCGCAACACCGGCTTGCTACTAATTAATTGGTAAATACACTATTTTAATGAGATCCACTATTGCGTTCAAAAAGTACGGACGCACCGAACAGGCCCTTATAAGTGTATGTCCAGCGCGTGCAAGCTTATCCGCCTCCAACTCTATTATCCAGCGTCGCATATCCTCGAACTATAATTCCAACTACGAGTGCAAAGGGGCGGGATATTGTGTTGTAAAGGGCGCCCGAACGAGACGACAAAATCTGGGAGATGGACCACGATATTCCAGGCCCTTCGCAAGGCCTTCTTCCTTCGCCCTCCGTAGCATCCTTCACAGATATGTCAAAGCTCTTGGGTCTGACCCACTCGGCTTACCCCCTGTCTCATTTGGCCATCCGAGGTTCAATCATGGCCTCCGACTGACAATTCTCGACTCTTCAGGCCCATTCAAACTTCCAAGGTTGCTCCATCCATTCCCAGGCTGCACGCGATGTCGCGCGTTTAAGAATTCACGTCGGAAAAACGCGTTGGAATGGCCAAGAAATCGACCCAAGGCGTCGTGGTGCCCAGCGCAGTTTTTAGTCTGGTTCACAACAGGCATGGTGGCATGGTGGCGGCTGGGATAGGACAACGTGCAGGATGCCGTAAGACGCTAAGTCGATCTCGTCTGCGCAGAGCCATCCCATCCCAGCCACTGAGCGCGTTGATGTTTCGGTGGGCATCTTGGTTTACGAAACACGGCCCCAGCACGCGGAGAGAGGGAGCAGGGGCTGGGAAACCAAGGTCTTTTCAGTTCCCACCACTCATCGCGTCGGGATACCTCTTCACGCCCGTGCCATTCTCGCGATTATCCATCAAGCTTTCTTTCTGCAAAACAATCCGTTGCTTCTGGTGTCTCCCTAGACCGCTGTTTCTCAGCGAACAGTTCTTGTTTTGAACCCCGACTCTGACTCGCGCTATGCGACACGAAAACTGAACGGCACAGGAGCCGAAGACGACGCTTCTTGCATCCTTCTGGCGCGGTATTCTGGCGTCACTGAGGGGCTTCTTGGGCATCCCGGGCGCAGGGTAGCCATGGTCTGGCTGTCCGGGCCCTATAATGTCATGTATGCCCGATTTCTCAGTCTCAATTCTGTTGTTTCAATATGTTTTGAAACATTTTTTCTGTGTGTACCGTCCAGTGAGACACCGGCTTGGGCAGGTTTTGTGCCAATTTTCTCTCTCTCATTTGACCACACAAAAGCCCAACTCGAAGTATCGGGTATACTTCATGACCGCACCCCAGTTTCCGAGTACTCTTTTATTTCATTTCTAAGAAAAGCACAAGTAGGGTGATGTTATAATTACATATAAAAGCAGCGGGCAATTAACCAGCATCGACTTTGGTCTTAACGGAGCGAAGCGCTTTTTCTCTCAAACTGTATGCGAAAATAGATCCTTCTCATACTATTTTTGGTTCTTTATCCACATCCGTCCGCGCACGAGAGAAAAAAAAAAAAAGAGAAGAAAACCGGGAAGAAGACAGCCCTATTCTATTCATTATATTTTTTTTTAGACGAGGTCATGACTGACAAAGTCTCTCAAGAACATTTTTCATCTTGGAATCGGCTCACTGGCCGCTATGATCAATCATTCTCATCAACATGTCGCCCGCAGCCGCCTTTTTCCAATTCTGGTGGACGGATTTGACTCGAGATGCTTTTCTCGCCTCTCTGCCGAAAGAGGACCTTTTATCCATGCGACTGGTGTGCCATGATTTCGCCTACCGCACCTCCCCTGTGCTCTTTAAAGAGGTCGACGTTGAGTTCCGAAATGGCACCTTCACTCGTCCAGCACGCATGGCTGCCCTAGAGCGGATTGGAAAGTATATCAAAACCCTCAATTTTAAAATGCCCCATTCGCCGGAAACCTTTCTTCCGCCGTTATTAGACCCCGTTACCGGAGAGGAGCAAACCTTTGTCTACGAACCACAAGTATACGCCTCTTGTCCGGCAGCGTCGAGGCTTAGTTATCCAAGATACGGTACTTGGGAAATGACGGAACTGCTAACGAAGCAGTACCCGCCATTGTTCCACGCAGTGACGAATGTCCCCTCGTTCATTCGCGCATTCAGTGCCATGACTTCACTTCGACACCTAAGAGTGTCGTGCGACGGCCAAGCAGCCGGGCACCGTTACCGCCGCAGTGTAGTCGACTACGCGCTCATATCACTTCGTATCGCAATCGAACAAGCACCGATAAAGTCTCTCGACACACTCTCCCTCCTCCCCATCCACCCAGGAGCACTTCTCTACCTCCGCCCAAACATGGGCTTTGGCGCATCCCCCGCAGCACGTAAGCGCTGGGCACAAATCCGCAATCTCTCAATTGAAATGGACAGTTTCCCATACGATATTGACAGCACCACGACGCCCGCCACGTCCACTACGCCATACAGCACCCCTTCCTCCTCCCGCAGCCGCAGCCGCAGCCGCAGTAGTAGTAATGGTAGTAGCAGTAGCAGTAGCAGCAGCAACAACAACAACACCATCATCAAAAAAAAAAAGACCCGGCGCAACCCCAACCCGCCCAAAGACCACCTCAAGCTCCTCCACTCCTACCTCCAAGCCTTCCCCACCGTCACACACTTCACCTTCCGCTGGCGCGGCACCCAGGGGCCGAGCCCCCTCTCCCTTTCCACCGAGCCATGCCTGCAACCAACGCCCACGGAGCCGGCCTCAATCCTCTGCCCGAAACGCTCCGCCGCACCCCTGCAACCGCTCAAGTTCCCTCACCTGCGCTACGCAGAGATAGAAAACGCCCTGCTGGATGCCGCGCAGGTGTCCGCGTTCATCCTCGAGCACCGGCGCTCGCTGGCGGAGTTCTACTTTGAGAACACCACGCTGCGTAACGGGGGCACGTGGGACGAGGCGCTCGCGCCGCTGACGGCGATTTCGGGCAGTGAGCGGTGGAAGGGCGCGGAGGGGAAGCGGGAGCAGAAGCAGAAGCAGGCGCAGGCGCAGGCGCAGAAGCAAAGACGGATGCAGGAGGAGATGCATGGGGGGATGGGGGAGGAGATGGACGTGCCGATTATGTTCAGTCCGGTGGGTGTGGGGCGGAGTCAGGTGCTGAAGGTGCAGTGGGAGGATGAGAAGAGGAAGGACCGGCTGAAGAATTTTCGGGCGTATGGGGATGCCGGTGCTGGTGGACCAGGGGCTGGGGCTGGGGCTGGGGCTGGGGTGGGAGGGGATGGTGGGAAGAGTAAGAGTCATTTCCAGCGGGCGAGTTCGCGGACGAGGGATTTTTTGTGGTGCAGGCAGGATCATATGAGGAGGTTTTTGAGGGCGTCGATGTTTAGTTGGCGGTAAGCTATGGACAGCCGCGGAGAACAAACAAAAAAAAAAGAAAATAAAAAAAAAAAAAAAAGAGAGAGAGAGAGAGAGATGACCGTGATCTGTATAAGGTGTTGCTTGTGTCTTTTTTTCGGTTATGGGGTGGGGGTGTTGTGTGTACAATCTATGTTCATTATCCAGGGGGGAGGGATTGGTTCTCTCGGAGTTCTTTTCTGGGGATTGCTGGGGAGAGCTCCAGCGGACAAACAAAAGTCACATCAAAAAACGGTTATATATGGATGATCCGGGGAGCTCAGGCGGGTGGGGTATATGGGTATACCGTACACGGTATTTGCTATGCTTTCTCTCTGGGGCGGCGCACAGCTATTTTTCACCATGGGATGGAACAGAACCTGGAGGTTTGGCTTTGGTTGGGCGCATTTTTGAAGAGGAATATCAACGAGACTCATGGGACACGCCATGACCACTAGCGATGAGCTATGATCTTTTCACGAAGCGATGAGGCTTCCATTGACACTCCTTTTTTTATGCTTTTCTTTTGTTTGATTGACGTTTTCTTCGTGTTGTTGCTCTTACTGGTGGTGAACCTCCTGCTGTATTACTGCTTGATGCCTTGGTCAACAGCTGGCGATCAACAGCCATTTACAACCACCACCGTGGGCTAGCATCAGACAGACCGTTCTTTTCAATTTGAATTGCCATCAAACTTCCTGTATTATGATTAACGCACAAAACAAATAAATGTAACTTAGCTAGGTTCAAAATCTGCTTTGATGTGTCTCATCCGAAACCTGGGTTAAATAGTGAGTGCCCCGCCCAGCATTGGCGTCACCTCTCCATCATTGTGTCTGCGATGATGGGAAATCAAACTCCCAGCTGAATAAAAGTTGCCGAACTTGCGGAGTAAGAACCCGTTGGGCCCATTGCGTACAATTCCAACCAAAAAGGTCCGTTGGATGCCGTTGAAGCGCGTTGCCTTTTTTATTTCCTGCCACAGAGCTCAGCCTCGGCAACGGCGGTGGCACGCTTCACATGTTTGCGACAAGCCTCCATCCCGTCCATCATAACATCTCAAGCAGAACCACCACAGATCTATGTTTCTCTTCTCCCATCCAGCCCTCATTCCCATCCCACCTCGGCCCGGCTTCAGTTCAGTTCAGTTCAGTTCAGTTCAGTTCAGTTCAGTTCAGCTCAGCTCAGCTCAGCTCAGCTCATCTCGCCTCATACAACCTCTAACATCTCCTTCTCCAACTTGACAGCCTCATCACCCACTCACCATGTCCTCTCTCGCACACCGTAAGTCCCTCCCTCCCTGCCTGCGCCATCATCTCCTTTCCCATCCCATCTCATCCACCCACCCAAATCCAAAGCTAACCCAAGACAACCACAAAACACCAGCCGCCTTCCCCGCCTCCGCCGCCTTCGACGCCATCAACGCGGCCATTAACTCCGACCCAGCCGACCGCGACGATGCCATCAAGTCCGCCAAGTCCGTATTTTCCTTCACACTGACGAACGAGAAGGGCGCGACGGAGAGCTGGTACCTCGACCTGAAAGACAAGGGCGTCGTCGGCAAGGGTGCTGCGCCTGCGGGCGGGAAAGCTGATGGTAGGTGATCAATAGCCTTTTCTTCTTCTTCTTGCTTCGGGTTATAGAGGTGCTGACGCAAAGAAAAACAGTCACCCTCCAACTCTCCGATGCCGACTTCGCCTCCCTTGTTAGCGGGAAAGCGAATGCCCAGCGCCTCTTCATGGCGGGCAAGTTGAAGATCAAGGGTAATGTCATGAAGGCGACGAAGATGGAGCCGATCCTCAAGAAGGCCCAGGGCAAGGCTAAGCTGTAGAGTTTTGTGGTTTCATTATTTCTTCCTTTGGGTACGTGGTGTGATGTCTTTATTTTTATTTTATTTTATTTTATTTTAAAACAAAAAATTATTTTTATATCTGTATATTGTTTCAGGATATAGCTTTTCTTTCTCCTTTATTTATGAGGGTGGTTCCGTGGGATAAAAATGAATACACTATAACATATATCTATATCTTACCCTTCCCTCCCCCCTATTTGTGTTGATTTTCTGAATCCACTATTCTGAGCAGGAGGACCATAACTACATCCCTCTCTCGGTCTCATTCCTTGTAACTATGAGATAGTTATCTAGAATAAAACGTAGAACCTTGATTTTCCTGGTACTTTAATTCCATCACCAGGCCAGTGGGCAGTGGGCTGCATTTACAGCATTCCAAACAAGGGACGCCATCAGTAGCATTGAAGCTCATCCCGGGTCTGGCCAGTGTTTGTGGTCTAAGTACGGAGAAGCTTTCCGCATTTGATGCCGGCAAAGGGACTCGGGAGCAACGTGCACACGTCATGTGACTTGGCGCAAACCAGGGCAGGCTAACCCAGACAGGAAGCTGCCAAGCCTCCAGCTGCCTCGACCCCAAAACCAACACCAAAACCACCTCCCACTCCACACATCCACCTCCCTCCACCTCAGCAGTAGCTTGCTATCTCGACCCTCTCCTCTCTTTCAGCAATTTCTGTCCCCCATCGCCTCATGGCCCTTCTTTGTTGTTGTTTCTTGTTGCCGTCCTCATAGCGTTGCCGTTGTTTTGCTTGTTGCGGCCGTCCTCGTCCTGCTTCCCCCCTGATCCGACCACTTCACTGTCGCGTTGGTGTTTTGGGGCAAAAAAAAAAAAAGTTTGCTCGTTTTTCTGCTTCATCTACTTAACTAAGGTGGGTTACCACAACAACAACAACAAATACGAATAAATAAGAACCCCCTTCTTGAACCCCAAATATACGATCATTTTACGAAGTGGAAAAATGGAAATGACTGTGAAGAAGGCGGAAAAATAAAATACGAATTGACCGGTTCCTCAACAGAACATCCTAATTCTCTGTTAATATTCACTTCCTCACACACCCACACCAAACCACAACGGCTTCACTCATCGCGGCGGGATTCAAGCGGTCGAGACCATTATAGGTGAATCCGCAACACATATCGCAGGCCTCTTTTCGCTGTCGATGTCTTAAAAATATCCCTGGATTGCCCATTTGCCTCCCTCACCCTCACGATCCATATATTTCTTTCTATTACCGAAGAACAGAAAAAGAGCTGAGAAGGAAGTCGAATTATTCAGAAAACTATAGTGTTTCATTCCCCCCCCCCTCACGCTGTCTCCTCCATACTCCTTTAAAAACCCCAAACTCCCTGGCCACTGGAAAGTTATTCTTACCGGATTGAAACAAACTTCAGATTGTCTTTTCCCTTCCCCTCCGTCGGGCCCCGTTCGTCTTTGCGGAGGAGAGGAGGGATTTGGCAGCCTGCTTGTCGATGTCGAAAAGAGTTGCACAGGCTCAGGGCGGGAAGGATCTCGCAGGGGGTTTCGGGAACGAGATGTCTGCGAATCCAACTGATATACCCAAGCGGGCTACGGCCGCGCAGTTGGCCAGTAAAAAGTGAGTTGGTTGTCTCCTTATATTAGCCATTTTCACCGATCTTGCTTTTCTTATCTTTTCTTCTCTATTTCGTGAGAGGTTTAAAGTTTATTTTGTTCGAGTTTATTTTGTTTGCGTTGGTTGATTGCGTTGGTTTTTTTTTTTTTTTTTTTTTTTTTTTTTTTTTTAATTTCATTTCATTTTCGCCTTACTGCTGCAAGGTTTCGCAAATTGGCCGGGCTGTTCCGGTATTTGACCGTCTTCATCCCTTGCTCCCAGGTTATGGTGCTCCTCCACTCTGCTCTCACCTTAATCTATTTTTTGTTCTGTTGCTGGTTGTACATTTTAACTTCTTTGTGATGTGTACATTCACTCCGAACTGGATACCGAGCGGTTTCGTGGGCATGTCTTTTTGGCATTCAGTCCTAGGGGGCAATCAATCCGCGCACTAGTTGGAGGCTTTGTTGGAGGCCACGAATTTCCACAAGGAATCGTTGTTCTCACCTCTGATGTTGGTTGCGGCTAGCCTATTCCTAGCTTGGCCGGAACGTTTGGGGAATGTGGAGGAGATTTATTTAGTCATCTTCGCATGATCACCAATGCTCTATTTAGTCGTGCCCTGCGATTCTCGAAGAGAAATTCCAATAACACGTCATGCTAATATCTTTACAGAATCAAACAGGCTCGACAGCGTACTCGCATAGCCTCACCTAGCCTTCCATCTTCTACACCCCAATCATTTACCAGCCCTTTTAGCACTATCGACCCGAATATCGTTCCTCCTAGCTCCTCGACCGGGACAAACGGCTTCAACTTTGGCCAAACTCAGAGCTTCCCTCAGCCGGGTTCGGGCACAGGTACAACCCCGCAGACCTCTTTCTTTGGCGACCAAAATAACTCCGTGCCCAAGTTATTTGGTAGCCAGACAGGTTCTGCACCCTCTTCGTTCAGCTTCACTCCATCAACGACTCAAGAAATAAAGAATCCCTTCGCTGATATGCCCTCTGGGTTTGGTCAGAGCCAGTCTTCAACGGGAGTCTTCCAGGGTTTCCAGGGTAAAACTTTCAATATTCCGGGGACTACAAGCCAAGGTGACCAGAATGAAGCTGGTCAGCAAGCTCCATCTGCTGGGATATTTGGGGCCTCTCAGCCGCCACAGCAGACCCTTTTCGCATTTGGAGGCAGTTCTGCGCCTGCAAGTTCTTCACTCTTTTCGGCTACACCTCCTGCTTCCACGCCACCAATAACATCCCCTCTTTTCAGCCAGTCGACTGCGAGTAGCCTTTTTGCGCCATCAACGCCATCCACAAATATGTTTGGTGCTAGTCCTCAAACTAATAAACCGAGTGACGAGATGCAAATGTCACCCCCTGGCAAAACTGACGGCATCCATGAAAATAAGGCTAGCCAATTCTTTGCTTCTGGCGTTTCGCAGCCATCATTCACTTCCTCAGCGACCCAGCGGTCTCCCTTTGGGACACCCGCTCCCCCATCTACTTCCCAACCATTTTCTTCGCCTATTTTCAACACGACTCCATCCGGTGGAAGCATGCTCTTTGGAACCATGAAAAAACCCGATGAGACTTCGCAACCTGCCACATCGTCGATTACTCAACAGTCTCCCAAATTTTCGTTTACCCCTTCTATTATGTCCGGTAGCTCGATATTCAGTCAGCCCAGCAAACCTGATAACGACACACCAAACACAGTAACTGCAACTGTTTCAACGCCGTCGTTTTCCACTTCTTTCTCGGCTCCCGCACCTGCTCCTTTCAGCCTTTTCGGCACCTCCTCGCAGCCGAAAGAGTTGCCAGCACCATCTACAACCGAAGATAGACCCCTGTCGGCTAAATCTCCGTCCGCGGAACCTACCAAACCTACAACTGTTACTGGGACTTCAGTTTTTGGTCACATCGCGAAGCCCACGGAACAGCCCCCTGCAATATCTGCATCTGCAGCAGAAGATGAGAAATCTTCAGCAGAGGCTCCATCACCGGCACAACCCGCCACTCCATCTGCCACTCCTTTTCCGTCTACACCTAGCGGCGGTGGTTCATTATTTGGCCGTACTAACAAACCCGGCGAAACCAGCCAACCCACATCGATTTTCAACACTCCAGCTACTAGCACGACTCCCAGTGGCCCCGTCTTCTCATTTACCCCCTCATCGACTAATATCTTCCAGACTCCATCGAAAATCCCTTCGGCCATTTCCAATGAAGTGAAAACAAATGAAAGCGGCCCGTTTCAAACAAAGGCCACGGGTGACACGGCACCAAGCGGTACCAGCAAGCTGTTTACGTCTTTGTCTCAAAGCCAACAACCACCCAGTAATTCGTTTGGATCCACTCCAGCATCGTCTCCATTTAAAAGCACAGTTGTCCCGGAAAAGACTCCATCAACCCCTCCTGCGATTTCCACTTCCCTTCCTGGAAAATCTACTCCAACCACGACTCCAAAATCTTCCTTCGCTGGAATTTCGAATGGCGAAGGCGGACTCTCCAAGTCTACTGACACACCTCCAGCGAAAGTAGAGTCGGTTATGAAGAGGAAAGAACCTTTAACTTCTAAATCCCGACTCGCCTCATACGGCCCACCAGCGATCCCACAAGAACTCAACAATGATGAACGAGTAGCATTCGACACCGAATGGCGGTTGAACGCACTGAATACTTCTTTCCAGAGACGTGTCGCAGAGGCGGATCCCAAGTCTGACGATATTGAAGTCTTGGTAGAATTCTACGTAAGAGTACGGGAAAATATCGGCGTCCCGACGGGATTAGCTATCCTTCACAAATCAGGAAGGAAGTGGAAAGAAGTCGAAGAAGTTGGATGCGTTGTGGAAGATTCCTCACGGAATAAACGGGCTAAGGGTTGCCTCCCAGAAACGAACACCACGTCGTTATTTTCATCACCCGCTGCTGTAGATGCCAGCAACTCTTCTGGCGATAAATCTGCAAGTGCAAGTGTAAATTTTTCTTCAACTGCTTCTTCCTTCGGAAAACGCAGGATGACTGACGTTGAAGACGAGACTAGCAGCCGTGGCGAACTTGGAAATAGCAATGGCAAAAAACTCAAACCCATTGGCGATTCAGCCACCAGTGCAAGTCCACTTCAAAAATCCAGTACTGACACAGAGCAGAAGAAGAGGAAGAATGACAGTGAAGGTACTGGTTCTGGTTCCGGTATAAGTGCAGCGTCCGATACAGTAACGATGTTTGCCACGTCATTCGTGTCCCAATCAAACAGAGCAAAGAGTCCTGTGAGGTTCACAGCTCCGTTTTCATCTCTCTCCTCAACGCAGAACGGTACTGAGGGTCCCAGCACTGTATCTCTTTCATCGCAGGGCTCGGAGAGCGAGAACGACACTGAAAGTAATGATTCAGCAGAGGAAGATGGTGGAGAAGGCGAAGGGGAAGGGGAATCTGAGACTTCCCTGACACCCCCGGCTACGAGCAATGGTGGGCGCAGTCTATTTGACAGAGTAGAGCTAGATCAGAGTGGCAAGCCAGTACGTCAGGAGGTACCGGAAATAGAGACAGTCGCGACGCCCAGCTCCGGAGAGAAAGATTTGAACTCGAACGTTTCATCATTATTCGCTGGGTCTAAATTTGCTTCATCATTTAATTCACCAGGATCCATCGGTACCCCACAATTCTCAAATGGATTTGATTTCAGATCCCCTAGGTCTCTATCTCCAATAAATCCTAGCCCGGGAGCTTCAGATGCGAAATCGCCACCAGCCATATCTGCCAGTAGCACAAGTACATCGGCACCCACCACTTCGGCTATTCCCGCTACCACCTCCGCCCTCTTCCCAAAGGCCACTAGCTCTCTCCTTCCCAACGGCAGCGCTCAACTCTCCCCCTTCCCTTTGTCCTCTGTCACATCCGCCGACGTCAGCCGTGCCACAACCCCTAACCTCTCCGAAGCCGGAGCCGATGAACCCGAAGAAGCCGCTGAGGACCTCCCGCAAGTCAACCTGCTCCGCGGCGGTACAGGGGAAGAGGACGAAGACGAAGTCTTCGAAACCCGAGTCAAAGCCCTGAAGTTGGGCGTGGACCCTGCGTCTGAGGATCCAAAACCAAAACTGCAATGGATACTGCAAGGGGTGGGACTGTTGCGGATCCTGAAGCACAAGACAACGGGGCGAGCGCGTATTTTGGTACGGGCGGATCCGAGCGGGAGGGTCCTGCTCAATGCCAATCTTGTCGCGGCGGTTAGTTATAAGAGTACTGGTAGCGCTGTGCAGTTTCTGGTACCGCAGGAGCCGAAGCCCGAGCAGTGGATTGCGAGGGTTAAGAAGGAGGAGATTGCGGTGGAGCTTGCTGGGGTTATGGAGAAGTATAAGAAGTGAGTGAGTGAGTTGGATGCGAATAGGTTCAGCCCTATGCTTAGGCCTTGGTTTGATATTTTAGAGGGTCAACAGGTTGGCTTATCGGTTACACAAGGTTCATACTTTTACTGGGGTTAGAAGCGAAACGAGAAAGATGATATCGTTTGGTATGATATGATGGGTGAGCACGGAATACAGAATGAATATGATGTGGGGCGGGTGGTTGAGCTTTGGTTTGCCCTTGTACTGTTTTGGTATTTGCATGTTTGGATGTCCTTTTTCTCTCATTTTTACTTATTCATTTACACTTTTCAAAGTCTCTCAAAACACACACTGGCGTTAAGAATTCTTGTCATCATTTCTGTTTTCTATCATATTTTCAGAATGTTTTTGTTACATCTTGTTTGGTGTTTTACCCATTTATTTTCTCTGCGAGGTGTTTTTTTTATCCCATTATTTTTCTTTTCTTCTCTTTGCCTCCTTTTTTTTGTAAAACTTACATTTTGTTCTTCTTTTCGTTTCTTAATTTATCATTTTTCATCCTTTTTGTTTTCCTGTTCAGTTTTGCCATGTCGAATATCTACTTTATTCTTGCTTTCTTCTCTTATATATTCCTTTTCACCTTACCACCATTAAGCAATCTTGAAAGCAAGGCACGCAGGTTTCACCATTTTACATTTTTCTACCCTTTATTTTATTTACGACTTGGCTCAGCGCCAAAGGAACGAAGGAAAAGAGAGAGAGGGAGCATGAAATTAATGTTCTTAACAATGATGCCATTTTCTATTTAATTTTTTTCTTCCACCATTCTACATTTCTTTCGCCCCTTTCCTCCTTGTTATTTTTGCCCAATTATTTCTTCAATATATCTTTTCTCTTGCTGCTTTCATTCCGGTTGTTACGGTTTCTTGTACATGTATATGCCCTATCTTCTAGCCCTTTCCGCGGCTGGTTTTCTCAGCTTGTGCAGTCTCCAGCACGTACAAATAAATCCTATTGAAACATATACATACATATATGAAAGAGGCCACTCTCACTCCCTCTCGCTCTCTAATAAGAAACATGTGATGGCTGTAAGCTGCCAGCTATCGATTGCCTGTTTATTATACTGCCTTGTTGAAGACAACTCCCCCGGCCCCCCTCTGTTTCTCGAAATCTTTTCACAACGCTGTTCCAACCGCTTTTGCGCGGGGGGGGGGGGGGGGGGGGGGGAAGGAAAAATATTGGGCCCCGTAAAAAATTTAAAAGGAACAAACTTGGGGGGAGGGATTCCACATTAAGGAAAAATAAAGGGAGGGGGGTTTCTCTTTTTTTTTTTTTTAATTTTTACCTTTTAATTTTTTTTTTTTTTCATTTTTTTTTTCATTTTTTTTTTTTTTTTTTCTTTCGTTCTAAGATACATCATTAAAAAAAAAAAGGCCCCGGGAAGAAAGAAAAGAAAAACTCCACGCTTCCCTCGTTAACCACTACAAACAACCCACCATCCCCCATCCCGCGCCATAGATATCTAATTCCACCTGAGAAATCTAAGCATCGTCATTGACGGATGTCTGCAGACCCTTTGGTTCCTTGACATTGACAGCTTGCACGAAAGAGTACAGCTTTTCCTTGGCGCCCTCCTCGTCATTACGCTTGCGGCTGATACGCACGCGGAGGCGGAATGGGACGCCCTTGATTCCGGATTCCCAGACCTTCTTGTTCAGTTGGGGATCGAGACGGACGTCTTTGGTGCCCTGTTGGTGAAGCGGGAAATGGAGGAGTCGATGGCGGCCCCCCCCACCAAAAAAAAGGTTAGTTTGTGCTGTCGATTGTTTTCTTTTTGTTTCTTTTGTATTTCCTTTGGTAGGTAGATGGAACGAAAAACAGTGGATGGGGGTAAGTAACTTAAGTTAACGTACCATAGCCTGCTCAGCAAAGGCGCGGATTTCCTTGATAGCTCTGGGCGCCCGCTTTTTGAAGGAGACACCATGGACCTACATATCACGAAGGAAAAAAAGAGGTAAAAATCAGTCTTCCGTCCGAAATGCCCAATTGCTTTCTTTCTTTCATTTTTTTTTTTTTTTTTTTTTTTTTTTCTCTTTTGCTTCTGCAGGTCGGGCCATAGAAAGTGGACTTCATAAAACCAATTCGCGCTCTTAATTTTTTTCCCCCCCTTTGTTTGTGTTTTTAGAACTTCCTGCTCTTTTTGCTTGTGTTGGATCTTCTAAAGATTCCATTGTGCATCATGTATGTGTTATGTGTCGTCTCGTATCGTCGGCTTGGATGCTGGCGGTGTAGACCCTCCTAACCGAACAGACCCGACCCGACAACAACACATATCCGCATTATTATTCCATCTATTGCTTATTTCGTTTTTTTCACGGTTTCACTTCATCGGTCCTTTCTTTCCATATTTCCCGTTCCCAGACCAAAGCATGCGAAGAAAAGAATGCGATAATTGATATGGCTAAAACATGCCGGACGATGTGCATTTTCTTTTCACTCATATCGCTTTTCTCCTCCTCCTTCAAGGGGATGTTAGATTGGTGGCACATACTCTTTTGTGGAGATGGATGGTGTACTCGCGCGACACGACGTCGGCGATGGCCGAGCGGCTCTTCTTTCCAGTTTTGGCGGAAGACATGGCCTATGTAAAGGACAAGAAATATGATTGGTTAGTCATGGACATTTTTCTCTTTTCAATATAAAAAGCGGGTTGTTGGGTTTAATAGACTTACTGCGAGGGACGGCGGAGATTTGGCGTTGAATGGTGTTGTCGTTCTGGGCGAGTGGGTAGATGTGATATGAGGTTTTGGGAAATACCTGGTGGTTTGTGGCTCGCTTAGCTATCTAAATCCAGTAAGGACTATGGAATATCACGTGACATTATTCAAATCTTACTTCCTTCCTATTTGGGAAAAATATACAAAATATAGCAGGCAACTGCGGCCCATAATTCATGTGCATCCTTTGTCATCTTCCAGTTAGTTTGCTATGCTTCAGTTAGCTAACTATACAGGTTGGAACCTGTGGTGTGCTCAAGAAGTGTAGATAACTTCTTTGCCTAAGCTGTATTATTATAGAGGCATTGATGGATCAACGTCTTGCACGGTCCCTTCATACTGCTATATTCAATTTAAACAGATACTTGATTCGTCAAATGGTATATATATATATATATATATATACTATCATTCCTCGAACTTGATATTCCCCTGACTAACATCAGGATACACGTCAAACCGCCGCTGCTCATAAATCGGAATTCCCCTCCTAATTTCCTCAATCACCTTGGGCTCAAGATCGGCATATACAATCTCCTCGCCCTCCCCAGCCTCCGCCAAAACTTCCGCTCGGGGATTCGCAACCAAGCTATGGCCCCATGCATGGTAAGTGGCGTTCATATCCCTAGCTGGACTGCACAGACCAACGTAGACTTGATTATCCATCGCCCGCGCCCGTCCAAGCAGTGACCAGTGCAAAGGGCCTGTGGTCAGGTTGAACGCGCCAGGGTATACCAGTAGGAAGGCGCCCTTGCGCGCCGCAATCATCGCTGACTCCGGGAAGCGAATGTCATAGCATATAGCCAGACCAACCTTCCCATACTCCGGCAAATCAATGACGGTAATCTTATTCCCCGCCGTCAGTACTTCACTCTCCTTGAAAGTGATTTTGCCCGGGATGTCGATGTCGAACAGATGTGTTTTGCGGTGGGTGGCAATCAGAGCGCCTGTTGGGGAGAAGACGAGGGAGGTGTTGTAATATTTATTGCTTTCTGGGACGAATTCGGGAATGCTGCCGCCGATTATATAGGCCTTTGCTTCGGAGGCTAGGGTGGATAAGGTGTGGAAGGAAGGAGATTGCTCCTTTGAGGGTGGGGAAGGGAGAAGCGCCTCGGCGTACTTGGGGAAGTACTGGGTGCCGTAGGGGGAGTTGAAGCATTCTGGTAGGACGATAAGGGACGCGCCAGCCTTTGCTGCTTCAAGGACTTTGTTGCGTGCATGTGAGAGGTTGAGGGCCTTGTCCGCGCCTGTGTTATAATTTTCGATATTAGATATTAGATATTAGATAACACCTGATCTTCATATGTATAAATAGCTATCCATCCGTTGCGATTTGCCAGGATCGGAGGGGTCTTGGGGAAAATTGTAGGTGATGTTATCTGGAACGTACCTGAGGCTAATTGCACCAGCGCAAGTTTCAACGGCTTCTTGAGAAGAGTAGCCATGATTTCTGGTAGGTAGGATATGGTGGCGGCGTATATTAATTTTGAAGCAGCGATAAATTATCGATAATTACTGAGCATTCTGTAGTTACTGTACATACATAACCTTTCCCAAAAAGTTGAACTTTCGGCTTGCGGGGCTGTTTGCCGCAATAGCTTGTTAAGCTCGGCATTAGTGGATAGAGGACACACAATTAAAAAATCTCTTCGGAATGCACTTGTATATTACAAAATGGTCTCTCGATCTTTTATGGTATTTTGTCCTCCGGTTAACATTCTTTCAAGGTCCCTGATTGACCCAGCCGCACATACTGTTCGCCCTGGCTTGGTGATAAGTGATCCGCTTGGTTTGCCAGCGGGGCGCACACAATAAGCGTACCTTTTGGGCTAATGATTTCATGAGTTTCCATTCGTTTGCAAGATATAGCTAGTCTACATCATATATTGGCCAAAACAAAGGCGGCGAGTTAAAGAAACTAATTGTGAGGAGATGTCTCTGCACGGCTCCTGCACATCCCTATCGTCAGATATGGCAGCATTTCTCAACCAAATGGTATCTTGTATCCAAGGGTTGTAACCAAAAACCCAACGGGGTACAGAATTTCGTTCAAATACGTGGCCCACAAATATTCTGCACAGAGGAAGTTTGTATATTAGCTAAAAGTCCGCAGGGAATGTATTACAGATGGGGGCTCCACCTTTCTTCTTTCCCGGAAATCTTCGTAGAGGGAAAGCCAGATATCTCGGCCACGGCAATCTTCTTCCCCAGTTAGCCCAATAGAGCAATTCGGCATTCTCCTATCCGGTATTCGTCTGGGATGCCTTTCTCCCAAGGTTTCGGATAAGGCCAATCGGAGAAATGGATAATCTTGGCTTCCGCGAAAACTTTCTGTGGGTCCCATACTTCGTTGTCAGAACCCAAATACTTTGAGTGGTTGTCCCCACGAAACTCCCCGGATATCAGGAAGTACGGTCGATGTGGTAAAATCAAACAGTGATTCTGATAGAGACGGTTCATCAGTTCCATGTCGTACTCTGTCTGATCCTTCTCACTTATCGCGTCAATAATGCGCGAAAATTGAAATTCGGACGGTTCGAGAACAACAAGTCCTGATGTGAGGAAGTTGTCTCCTGATTGTAGCCAGTATGCTCTTGGCATGGCTACTGGGGCGCTGGGGAGCAGAAACAACTCATCCATTGACTGTACGAGAATATGTATTAGTAAAAGACAAAATCATTAGATCCATTACTGAGTCACTTAAAATATGCGTACTTGAAGTATCGTGGAATCCGAATCAAAAATTAATATACGCTCATACTCTGTTAGGTTGAAGGCAAGCAGCTTTGTGAAGCTGTCCCCCCATGTTACATCTGGCGATGCCTGAAGAGGTGATATCGGCTTCAGCTTAACATTGTACTCGTCTTGCGCTTTCGCTAACATCCTTTCTATTGCTTTTCGCTTTGTGGTACTCGCTGGCCAGCGAGTGGGGTACATCAAGATTCTGTCTGGTTTTGTCTGAAGTCGTTGCAGTGTCTCGAAAATCATCAGAGAGTTGCAGAGATACACCGGATCAGTCGCGTATTGTGCATAAGCAAACCGTGACCATTCCGCCTCTTGACTGTTATCTATCACCACTGGAGCCGATGGCTGTGGAAGAGGCAGAAGGTATACCCAGAGTAATTGGCAGGCAGCGACGACGAAGAAGATAATCAAGATATCACGTACAAACCTGGGTCGAAGAAGGACTCTCGATGCAAACCGGGGCTTCCAAGAACTAGAACATATGTTATTTCCAATCTGACTATATAACTGCATGTTGGCGATGGGAAAAGAAATCTAAAGGGACATCCTCAAGAAGGGTTCAGCCTTGGACATAATAAGGGTTTTCGACAAGCTTGAATACATGATCGAAGGGTGGGAGTAAAGTCCAAAAAAACAGTGTGCTTCACGCCCCGGAATATTCTCTCTTGGCTAATGATAACCAACAGGTATACTAATACATAGTTGGGGGCTTTTGGCCTGGATATGAGCTTATTTCAGGAGCAACCATGGAGCGAACCAAAACCCTTCAAAAATAGGCGGGCGATCCGCGGACTGATCCATGGTTCGTACGGTTCAGCAAGAAGCGGCCACGCTGGTTTTTTTATCAGGATGAAGAGAAAATAGGGTTAAACATAAGTTTATGAGGCTTCCTCCAGATTAAAAAATAACTGGAAAACCCGCAAACTGCAAATTCTGGAAAGGGGGTAGTGTTGATGATAATGATAACATTGAGTTCCAATGTTGGTATGGAAGCCTTAAGCAGCCAGCCCAAAGCTTCAGTCCGATCGTATCGTTAGGATGGTAAGATGGATGTTTGTATGTTGAACATCAACAGTCAAGAGCGCAGGTCAGATTTTTTGGAAAAGTTGCCATTTGTCCGTGTCTGGAGAGATTATTCCTATACTGTGGTTGGCAATATTCTGACAACACTCCTGGAAATTAAATGAGAGGTGAATGAACGTTGACATAAATTGGTACATACATGGTTTGGAGCTCTTAGGCTCATAAATAGCGAATAATGATGATGCCTAACAGTAGGCCTCTGCTTTTTCTGCTTTGACAGCTCGCCCTTGGGCGGCGGGGGAATATAGTCGCGAAGCAACCGGGAAGGATAAACTTAGGATGCTCATATGGCTTCTAGCCAAATCGATGACATTTCCCGACAAAATTTAATGGTGTGTGTGTGTGTGTGTGTGTGTGTTTAATATCAATTGCTCGCTACCCAGCAACGAGTCGACTCAGGAAGCTGATCCCGTTGCTCCTAACATTACCTCACCTCTTCCCTAGGTATCTTACATTCACTGACATGTTATGTGATAGCAGCAAGAGTCCACCCCTAGGTGCAGGGAACTTACTATCTATTGAATGTTGAATGTAGATGATCCCGCATAGTTCAACTTCACATTTCCGCCTGTAAATGGACAAACAGGAATGTGGCTCGCAAAAGTGCGTTTTGCACTTTTTGAATCGTGCTATCAAGAGCCTTATAATAACTGGTTCCCAAGACCTTATCTCCCATACAGCCCGTATACTCCCATGTTCGGCGACCGCTACTGCATTGGTGGGGGCATTTGGAGGTTTGTTTCTTCAGCCGAAACTGGATCGCTGAAGCGAACTGGAGGTTCGCATGGGCAGCCCTCAGAGGGAAATTGCACGATATTCCTGATTGTGCAAATATCATACGCCGTACATTGTTTGGACCGCAGGGTTAAATTCACCGAATCCTGGTCCGACCATTGGAACTTGAATCCATGAAAACAAACCGAGCGTACAAACAGGTTGTGCTTAGCAAAAACAGTAAACAACTCATCTTTAGCTCCAGGTAAACTGTATGAAAAAGACCATGAACATTGCCAACGGATCCGGATGTGGCACTGGCGCGGTTTGATCCTCTCACCCTCGTTAGCAGGAAGTGAAGAAGGGGAAGAGAGGCGATGGGAGGTAATTCAAACCTCAGACGAATTTCGGGAGGACTGGCGGAATCACGCGAATGCAATATGCCAAACAGCCGCTGTCCCGCCGGCATTTGAGATGGGGAGCTCAACTCCAAATATGGGATACTGTTAGTATTCACAAACGTTGTACGGAGTACAAAAGTGCCTTACAGCCCAGCCAAGCCAAGAAAGCGGAGATTAGGTAAACCAACCCACCACGAGATTCTGTGACCACAGCAGTTCCTCTGAACCAGCGAACAGCATATCGTTGGGATATTTCAAACTACACTGGACTACAAAGTGGCAAAATTGGAACAACTTACTGTACTCCAAGCTTCTGTCATATGGCGATTGTCTCTCACGCCCCCACGTCTCTGGTGTCCTATCTCATCCCAATTCTCAGCGGCCCTCTGATTTGAGAGCGCTGGCGTATCGCGGACGCAGCAAGTCACTATGCATGAGTCCTGTGTGTGATCTCTGCAGGACGAGTATGCCGAGGAACGATGTCTTTACCCATCATCTTCTTATATCAAACGGAAAATTTTTCCATGAGGTTCAAGGAAAAATTTCTATTAGCGCCCACCGGATCAGTTTGTTATAAATTATGATTCTCGGTTCGACAAAACGCCAATAATAATGTACTTAACTCATGTGCTGTACATACCTCGTACATACCTCCGCCTTGCTATACTGCCGTCGAACATGAGTTGGCATCGGCTGGCCCGGTTAGGAATCGGGGCGCAATCAAATCATGCCCATTTACATTCTTGTGAGTATGAGGCTAAAACTTTTTATTTCGTTCAAAGAAGGAATTGGTGTGGGGTGGAAAACATACAAGATCCCTGATAACAACCTCTGTATATTGTAGGGAACCGTCCCTGCGAAATGACTAAAGAAAGCTCCAAAGCCCCTTGTCTATTTTATATCGCTTGCAGCAGTTTCACGTCTCTAATTTTCCACTGATATACGACCTATCATTCGCAATGTCTCTTTGGCTATCCTCGGTATTATCAAGGTTATTCCCGCCGTTCCGAGAGAACATCCATGCTCCAGACTGCGCGCCGTCAGATTTCCTACCAGATCACGATCTGCACAACTCCTGGGGTTGCGATTACTCAAGCCAGAGCGTCGTGAATCATGAAAAATTACGCCATTTGTGGGAGCAATATGGTCGGGACCCAACCGGAGTACGACGGAACTACCACAATCTTCTCAGGGAATATACTACTCTCTTCCGGAACTTCTTCAATGGATACTATCCGATTTCACTGCATGCCCATGTTAGCGACGCACTACTCCCAACCACGGTATCCAGCCTGATTCAGAATACCTGCGCCTCCAGTCCTCTCGTTCTAAACAATCCGGCTTTGGCTCCGAGTTCATCGGCCACTGAAGATGGGAAGAAAATCCAGCAGTTTGTACTGGATTATCTGGGGTGGGAGGAGTTGCATGTAAAGCATCCGAGGTTTGCTGTGGTTCAGGGATTGTATGGGGCTGCCTTTGGTCCTCTTGTGAGTACACGGGTTAGAACAATATTGGCACAGGTTTTGAGAGACAGCCTTGTCTAATCAACAGCACGCCAACTCAAAAGGCTCATGCTTCCAAAGAATGGGAGCTACAGATTATCGCCTCCGGGCCCAAACCAATCGTGGTTCGCGTCGATAACGACATGCCAAGGGAAGCTCTAAGCGCATCTTTAGCACAAGCAAAGGTGCAAGGTTCTATTGCAGTGGTCGTTGATATGGTCAGCACAGAGGATGGCTCAATCCTCTCGCCCGAACGGTTCAAATTGCTCCAGACATGCTGCGCAGAAAACAAGCTCTGGTTTATTGTCGATGAAGCTCTAACAGCCATCAGATGCGGTTCTCCATTTGCATTCCAACGAACCGAGTACGGCAGTGAAAAGCCAGACCTGGTCGCCTTCGGGAAAGGGCTAGGGACCAGCGGCATCGCAATGAGCTTTGATAGCCCCATGACTCGCCCTCTCGGTTTCTCAAAGGAAGAGTACATCCATCAGACCATCATGTACTGGCGTGCTCTAGTCAGTCGACCAGTAACAATCCCAGTTCTGTTGAAAGCCATGGGAATACTTTATACGGCGAAAACCGAGAACTGGGTGCAAAGGAGCCTTAAAATCGGGCAGACCTTCTATGATGTCATCCAGGAATATTGCCCTGGAGAACCTGTGAAAGGGCTGGGGGCCATACTGGTCCTTGATAGAGACACCTCCATGCGACTGCATGTTATGGCAGGGATTAGAAGGAGATGCCCGTGGGTTCGCTGGTTGCCCAAACTTGATGCTGTGAACGCAGACCGTGCAGCTCTGGCGGCTTGTGTGTTCGGAGCACAAAGCAAAAGTCGACGGGCAAAGCTGAGTGTGGAAGCTGAGAAAATGGGAACACTGCCACCGTGGTGTTTCGTATGTGGCATAGAAGCAACTTCAGAAAACTGGTGCCGCACTTGTTTCTTGGGTTGCTGTATCAATGAAGTCTGCGAGGATGTTTTTGGCTCCCACACTTGCATATGATGTTCTGCTGGAGGATGAGCTAAGGGAGCGACTATTGACTGCCTTTTTGCAACTTAAGTGTACACCCATGATGAATTTTCATGATCCATGTAACAAACCTTCTTTAACCAAGCTGCGCAGCAGCCCAACAATTTCTACATGAAAGAGGGCAAATGAAGCGCCGTGAAGTAACTATCCGCTATTGGGCGGCTTCCTTATCTTGCCCTCAAGCACATAACTGATAATGATGTAGTTCAGTTGCTTTCAAAATCGACATAAATTGCCAGGAAGCAGCAAGCAGTTCGTGATCAGTCGTGGTGGGGTGTCATTGGCTGTCTTCCTTCCCTGGAAATTTAGTGTTAAGACTCTATCAGGGTTCAGGAGATGGCACACTCACCTTTGTTGATACTGCCAAACGAACTTTACAAAAATCTAAAACGAAAGAAAGAGGAGAAATCTAAAGAGCCACTTGGATTTCAAGGCCCAAAAATGGCTGGGGAGAATTGCTCGCTTCAGACTATCCGACCACAATCCTTAACTAGTTCGTGGCGCTGGTCGCCGTCCAGGGATCTCTCCGCTTAACCAACTTTGGCCTTGAAGCGTATAAAATGGAGGTTGCGACTATTTAATATTTAATATGGAGCAATGGCGATCTGGCAGACTTGGATGAACAGGCTATAGACTCTGTGAAGCAAGTGGTTTCGTTATCATCATTATCAACTATGACTAGCCTCGACAGCCCCAATGAATATACGGTAGGATGGATTTGTGCACTTCCTCTGGAGCGCGCGCCGGCCGAAGAGATGCTCGAGGAGAAACATACTTCTCCGAAAGGCTTTAAACAGCCTCGAACTGACAACAATGTGTATACTTTGGGCCGTATCGGTGGCCACAATATAGTCATCGCATCCCTCCCAGCTGGCAAGTATGGTACGTCACCCGCGACAGGAGTCGCAATGGCAATGTTATCAACCTTTCCGGAAATCCGATTTGGTCTCATGGTCGGCATTGGGGCCGCAATCCCTCGAGGGGACAGGGACATCCGGCTCGGTGATGTCGCAGTCAGCAGCCCTGATGGGAAAAGCGGTGGGGTTGTCCAGTATGATCTCGGTAAAGCCCTGAAAGGCGACAAGTTCGAGAGGAAAGGATCTCTCAATAGTCCCCCTGACCTGCTCCTCAATGCGGTCTCGATGATCCAAACAGAACATCGTAAAACGGATTCGAAATTCCTATGTATCTAGTGAGATGTTGAAACCGATTGCCGTCCATGGCTAA